AGAAAAATAAATATATAATTTAAATGGAAACAGTAAATGAGAGCAATTGGTATCAGGACTCGAAAAATGAACACCGTATAAGTTGTATAATGGGATTTCCTGTTTGATTAGCTAATTTGATCCTCTGATCAGGACTGATTGCCCTTACCACACTTACGACTTGAACTTCTCTGAAAGACAAATTATCAGTTTGGACCAATAGGACTGAATTTAAGATTTGAGTGTGTCTGGTGTGCAGGTTAAGAAGAGCTTCCAATTTATTCTTCTTCAGAAGAAATCCAGTTCATGTGCACCAAGACCATGCTGGAAACTAAATCATATATGATAAGCCAGGACAATCAAGAAGTTAAATTAAAAACTGTGCTACTGCAGCAAGCTGAAACAGCCCATGCTGGAGGTGATTTCTGTGTGGAAAGTGGAATGATAGAGTTCTATCATATATAGTAATGATTACTGATGACAAGATTGGTCTGACTTCCCTTCTGCCACAGTTTAATTATCAATGGCAAAAGTTATATTAGACACAACTAGAAACTTGTAATTTCCTCATTATTATTATTATTGCTACTACTACTACTACTATCATTAATTATTTTTCCATTTACAGGAATGGCAGAAATGTGCCTTGGATTAAATTAATGAATACTTATGACAATACTCTTTTTTTGCAAGCAAGGATTTGTAAGTGAGACAGAACCATTCATAAGATGTCTGTTTGAAGTTTTACTTCTTGACTTGTGTTTCTAAGTCCTGTGCCTCTGAATGTTCTCTGTATTTAGAAATAATGGTAAGGGAAGAAGACAACAAACAGTAAATGGCTCTACTATTGTAGTTCATTATACTGTATGACTAAATAGTGCAGGAGGCAGCCAGCCATTATTTCTTCCATAAGACAGTAATTTGTGGAACTAAGAGTGAGGGAACAGAAAATTTATCCCTATTCCTGCTAAAACTAGTCTGAAGAATTGTATGTGCAATTCTGTTTGTATTTATCATCTTCAAATAACATTGTGCTACAGTTCCAGGCAAACCTCGGCTTGTGATTAGCCACACACAGATGAACACGGCTCTTATTCAGTGGCACCCTCCTGTGGACACCTTTGGCCCGCTGCAGGGTTATCGCCTGAAGTTTGGTCGCAAAGATGTGGATACATTTACGACCATGGAGTTCTCAGAGAAGGAAGATCACTTCACAGCTACAGACATTCACAAAGGAGCTTCTTATGTCTTCATGCTCTCAGCTAGAAATAAAGTGGGCTTTGGGGAGGAAATGGTTAAAGAGATTTCTGTTCCTGAAGAGGTACCCAGTGGATTTCCCCAAAACCTCCACTCGGAAAGCTCTACTTCTACATCAGTTCAATTAACTTGGCAGATGCCACTCTTGGCAGAGAGAAATGGCATTATCACCAAATATACCATCTTGTACAGAGATATCAATGTTGCTTACCAGCCAGTTGAACTCCCTGTTGCTCCTGCTGATACCACTATGACACTTTCTGGCTTAAAACCAGATACCACATATGATGTAAAAGTACGTGCCCACACAAGCAAAGGGCCTGGTCCATATAGTCCAAGTGTCCAGTTCAGGACACTACCCGTGGATCAAGGTAGGATTTGTCTGCTTATGGCGTTGACCTTTAAAGGAGTATCAGTCTTTGGATATCAGTGTTTTTGAAGCTGTATATAAATCTGACCGGCCCATTCATAAAAATAGGTTCAACAAACACAAAAGGTAAAGTATGTAAATCTTAATATGTTTTGGATGCCTTAGAATTCAGTTGTCCCTTGCCAAGCAAGTTCTGGCTAACATCTTCACAATTTTTTCAGGTAAGAAAAATGTACGTGTTGGGTTGTCACTAGATAAGAGTGAGAATGAGTTAAAATGTGATATTTAAATATGAGCAAACAGGTAGGAGAATTTAATCCTTGTGGTTTTTGACCTAAATGGAAAGCTAATACTCCCAGGTAGCAGAGGAAATATGATGAGATCTAAGCTCCAAGATGTTGTTTATATACATTGTTTCTTTTTTTCCAGCAGTGTTTGCAAAAAATTTTCATGTTAAAGCAGTAATGAAGACTTCTGTTTTGCTCTCTTGGGAAATTCCAGAAAATTACAATTCAGCCTTGCCTTTCAAAGTAAGTTACTTCCCATTTGTAGAAGGGAAAATACAAAAACCAGAGGATGTCGTTCACCTGGTTAAGTAGCTTACTGAACAAGTGGATTTCTTGATATTGGTGTATTTAAGAATGCAAACTAATCAGCAATATAGACCCAAGCTGTTAAATTCAGTCATTATGCAATATGCCACTGTTGGGCAGTATTTCTAAGACAGGCTCATACTGGTTATTATGCATGGTATAAACACCTTGCTAATTTGTACTTCATTGCTACTACATTTCAGAGTAAACAGTTAAAAAAAAGAATAATTTTCTTTTTTTTTACTTGTTTTTATAGTGACTGTAGCTGAATACCATTTTGGTTTTGTCTCCCCACACTTAAAACAACACATTTTTGCGTTGTAACCCCTTTAATTCCACTAACACATTAGCCAGGTAAAAAGACTCAATGTAACCTGCAGTCTGGCTGGCATTTCTTCTGCATCATTCTTCATCATTTGTGTCATCTCAGGCAGTGGCAAGTGAAGAGCAGTATTTTATGAACTAAATGTTGCAAAAACCTTTCTGAATAAGGAGTGTGAATGAAAAAGTCAAGGTACCTTTAACAAGTGATATAAATGCTGGGTTCAAGCAAAACTACTGAATTTGAGTAAGTGAAACTGGATTTTAGGAGTGCTTACACTGCTTTAGGTTAATGTAGTTCTTTTTTCCCCCTAAAAGTGAGAAGTTTAATTGCAGTAGTGAATTCAGTACTATTTTACAGCCTAAAATGCCCAGTAACTTTCATTTTAAATTTATAGCTAGGTTTATTCCTGTTAATATACTGTGTGACAGTATTAGTTGCCTTCTCTTGCTAACCAAAACCACCTTCAATTTATATATATGAACCTAGATCCTTTATGATGATGGGAAAATGGTGGTGGAGGTTGATGGACGCGCTACTCAAAAGTTGATCACTAACTTGAAGCCGGAGACATCATATTCATTTGTGCTGACAAACAGAGGGAATAGTGCTGGGGGTCTTCAGCACAGAGTGACAGCAAAGACTGCACCAGACGTGCTTCGCACCAAGCCAGTCTTCATTGGAAAGACCAACTTAGATGGCATGATAACTGTGGAACTTCCAGAAGTACCTTCAAATGAGAATATAAAGTGAGTGAATAAATGACATACCATTGTTTTTATCTCCAGAAAGATGATTATTCTTACTATTAATAAAATGTGGAGCTGTGGTGGACCAGGGCTTTATTCTTCATGATGGTACAGAGAGTACAGCACTCTGCAGTAGTATTTGGACTAATATTGAACTAATATTTGATGATACTTACTGGAAGGTGCTGTTGACTGTCTTGAGGGGCAAGAGGCCTTGCAAAGGGATCTAGATAGATTGGAACATTGGGCAATCATCAATGGCATGAAATTTAACCAGAACAAATGCCAGATTCTGTTATTAAGGTACTTGAATGTGTCCAGATGAGGGCAACAAAGCTGATGAGAGGGCTGGAAGGCATGTCCTATGAGGCACAGCTCAGGACTTTGAGCTTGTCTAGTTAGGAGAAAAGGAGGCTGAGGGGCAACCTCATGGCTCTCTGCAGCTTCCTGAAGAGGGGAATTGGGGAGGGAGGTGCTGAGCTCTTCTCCCTCGGATCCAGTGGCAGGATGCATAGGAACGCTTCAACACTGCATCAGGAGAAGTTCAGACTGGACATTAGGAAGCATTTCTTTACCAAGAGGGTGGTCAAACACTGGATCAGGCTTCCTAGAGAAGTGGTCAATGCCCCGAGCCTGTCAGTGTTTAAGAGGCATTTGGAAAATGCCCTTAATAACGTGCTTTAACTTTTGGTCAGCCCTGAAGTGGTCAGGCAGTTGGGCCAGAGATCATTGTGGGTCCCTTCCAGCTGGAGCTATTCTATAAGTTTGTAACTTAGCTAAGCATGTAGGAGTGATTAAAATCTGCATGAAAATATGTGAACGATTGTCCTTCAGTTTTTAGTTGTTTCTCACAGTACTTTTGTGTTTCAGCACTGATTTCAAGTAGCAAAGAGAGATTAAGAAAGCCAGGGGGTTTTTTTGACAGTGTATTCTCTCAAGAAGAATGGATAACCTGCTACCTAATGGGTAGCTGCCCTGCAGCAGCACCTTGTACTCAGTACAAGTACTCAGACAGTCATTCCAGCATTATGTGAAGTTTTAAAGAATTATTACTGCACTTATATTAATTCAGATGAATTAATTCTGATGGGTTTTTTAAAAGTAAAATCTCAGATTGTCTGTATTGATTCCAGAAAGAAAACAGGAAATCATGCTGAAAAATTTGGCAGAAGAGTTTACTAGAGGTTACTTAGATTTGGAGGGGAAAATCGCTGTGATGATTTAAACAGCAGAAATAGGACTAAAGAGCTGACAGCACATGGTCAGCAGGGATTAGAAGGGTTAGACAGTAAAGATTTGCCAAGAAAACATGAAGCATGGTACAATCAATAAGTGTTACTGCTCTGCTTATAGTGAATCTTGTTGGTCTATAAGGTTCCCGTGTGTAATGTAAAGGAAATGGGGAAGAAAATGAGCAAGTCATTAAATATTGTTGAGGATTCAACTTGTCTTCTCCCTGGTGGATTTTTACTGACAGCATTGTAGAAAGCTGCTCCCCTTTTTCATTACTGACTGAGGATTTTGAGGTAGGTGAGGTCAAGAAAGAAATGACTTTGAGACATTAAAAGGATGAAAAACTGAAAAATGCAGCTATTATTATTAGATTGAGTAAGATGCGGTCAGTAACAAATGCAGCTGAGGAAGACTGAAGATGGAATGAGTCAAAAAAGATTTATGAGGCAGAGCATTCACAGAGGAAAAAAAGTGCAGGATAGCTGGTCAAACAATAGCAGAAGATGGTAGTGGAAAACGAGCTGATGTTTTTCCTTTCATGTAGGGTAAAAGGTGAAAGTTGCTAAGTAACATCAGGAAAGGTACATTAAACCTATGGGGCCCAACTGTCAATTTTGCAAATAATGTACCTACTCCTTCTATATCTATTTCCTAAGAAGATGTGATCAGGCTTGAGATAGCAAAACAAAACAATAAGAAAAAGATTGACTTGGCCCTTGAAAGCAGGCATACCAAAGCAACTACATACTGAACAGAAAAAGCTTACCTGATGCTTGCTAGAATAAGTAAGATTATTGCATCTATTGTAAGGGAAGAACAATTTTGTGTAATAGTTATGTTGACATTATTACATCTGCTGTTCCTCTATGGGTACATTATATGCTCATAATTGTCTCTATCTTACTATGAAGTACTATACACTGAGAATCTTTCAATAATGCTAATTACACAGAAGGTGAAACGGTTAATGATTTGCTCTAATGAATTATAGGTAAATACAAATGGGATTGACGGTAATGTTATAAGAGCCTTTGTAATTTATTAAAGATGGTAGAAGTAATTTTCATTATTTCAATGTTTGATGGTGATACAGCATAGAAATTGGAGCAGAGCTCACCTTATGCTAGGTAAAATGGATCCCTGTTGCTGGCATCGTCTCAAGTGAGCAATTTCTTCATTTTCCTGTAGTATTCTGGGCTAACTCAAAGCAAATTTTATGTGTAAAAGACAGTTCATGTTTCTCTGAATCTCTTCTGTCTTTGCAAAGTCTTATATAAAAACAAGAGTTTTATGGAAGACTTTGGTCTTTGTAATACTTAGTAGTTCAAGCAATATCCAGACAAATCCTCCATTTTGTTCCCTTTCCCCCCCAAAAAACCCAGCAACCAAACTCAAAACAAACAAGCAAATAATAAAGCAAATAGTAAAACATATTTTCCAAGAGGTGCTGCATTTTCTGGAATTAGCTAGAAATAACAGAACTTTGTTGTCCTTTACAATTTGCACCACTTTATGTGAACAGTTTCATTTTTCTGCTTGCTGTTAATGTACTTGTGCTTTCAGCTTTAAAATACTCTGTATGTGCTGAAAGTCTTAGTGGATGATCAAAGTTATGAGTGGGAGGCATGCATTAAGAGTGTGAAAGTAACATTTGCATGCTGGTTTTTCCTTGATTGAAAAAAAAATATGAACACTCTGTTAGCTTAAAAAAGAGAAGAAGAAAAAAAGGATAAATAAGAGTGCAGTTAAAGGATAAATAAGAACTGCTGTGCAGTTCATCCAGCAGATGTATCTTCGATGTCTGAAAGACATATAGGGGCCAATTCTCTATTGCTTTTTGTCTTGATTCTGAGGCATCTGATAAAGAAAAGGTTGGCAGGCTGTAGTTGTTTTATACATGGATAAATCAGCATTCACTAGGATTTGTTACTCATGTAAACGAAGAATTTTTAAAATACTCAGGTTTAAAATCTGGGTTCAACCAGCCTTACTAGTTTTGAATAAGAACATCAGTGTAAAAGATGATTTATCATATTGTTACTATAAGTATGCGTGCTGCAGATTTTATTTAAATACTGGAATACAGCAAGTGAGCAGCAGTTAAAAATCTGTGGCCAACATTTCTATTTTCCAGTTGGAGCTCAGCATTTCCACAGAGGAATTTCTCAAATTTCTTAAACTAAGTATTAATAACTATGTGCATTTACTGCAGTAGTTAAAAATCCAAAGTTTTGTTACTTTTGTCTTATGGGAAGGAGTTTTAATTAAGAAGAGACCATTACAATGAACCAATGTCGTGCACTGGTATGGAAGAAAGATAGTTTATAGAGTTGGTTTAGACTGTGATAATTTCTGATCAATTGTAAGGCAAGTCCTTTTCTGTAGATGCTCTTTCATTAATTACTTAAGGTTGTTCAGCTGCATTGCATGAATAAAATGAATAGTCAGTGCTGCAGAAGGTTGAATAGGCTGTAAAAAATGGCAGACTAGAAGAGAAGAAGATGGGCCATGAGACACTAAAATTATCTTCCATAGTGAAGAGTCAGAGACACCTTATTAATAAGCTCTGTTGTTACTGGAAATAAAGGAGAGCAGCTTATTTCCCTCTTCTCTGAGATGGAGAGTGCTTGACTTTTTGACAAGTGTGTTTATCAAGAAGATGTATATTATACCATCCTGGATGTCCTGCTGTTGTGATTCTACTGGTTTTTTCCTCACACTAATATGAAATTATGGATCTGCCAGACACGTATCCAGGCTATGTGAAGGAAGCAAGGGAAGTGCCATATCTCTACTATACTAAAAAAGTATAATTTACTAGTCTCCATGGGGGGAGGAGGAAGGTATTTTCAGGAAAATGCTTCTGAGGAAAACTGATATATGTCATTTGCAAATCCTAGCTGTAAAGAGAGCATACATCAAGCTCTCTTGTCTATGACTGATCAGAATACTTAACCAGATAAAGCTGATGGTGATTGATACTCAAAAGTAAAGAGTGTGTGGGTGGAATGTATGCTGTGTTCTTCTTTATTTTCCATTTATAATACTATTGGCATCAACAAACACATTATGTTAACCTACTATTCTGATTATACATGAAAATGGGGGAAGATGGGGTGATAACTGAGATTTGAATCTATGGTAATATGTTTCAATTTAGGGGTTTGGGGATTTTTGATGTGTGTGTGGTGTGATGGTGGCAGGGCACAAGTATCCCATGGGTCTTCTATTTCAAATTAAATAATAAACTGCTGTCAAACATGCAGGAATTTTAGAACATTGTAATTAAAGTTTCTTATGCATATTTATATGTTTACGTGAAAAGGCAGGTAATTAGTGCCATTTGTTTGTCAAATGTTTTACACTGGATGTGGTTTCAAGAGTGTGAATCTTTACAACTGTGTTTGGAAGGCTGCCGTGGCATAATTATGTGCAAAAGTTTGCTCTCAACATGCCACTGTTCTCTTAAATTCCTCTGAACAGACAACTGCATCAATTTATCTACTCCTTTTTCTCCACTTCTATCCAACTGTTTCCTTTACAGAGGTTATTACATAGTTATTGTGCCTTTGAAGAGGTCTCGTGGAAAGTTTATCAAACCATGGGAGAGTCCAGATGAAATGGAACTAGATGAGGTACTGCATGTTTTTGTTGTCATCGTCTCCTTTATTAAAGAAAGTCTTATCAGTAGTATGTGATTAACTTACCAGTTTCAGAAGTTTTGGTTGTCAGGATATTTTATATTTCTATTTGAATTAGCCTGTGGGGACTGAAACAGAAGTTCAAATTACTTAAATTAGAAGACAATAAAGACATTAAGTTGCAATAAAGCACGCAAAGTGCCTGATCTTTGTTGGCATTAATATTTTATTCTTTTCCTATTGTAAAGCATAATGCAAAAGTGCAGGAGGTGAAATGAGTTGTCAGCAAAAGCTTAATCACTAATGATATGAACTCTAATAAAGGTCTGGTTCATTAGTGGGGTGTTTGCTAAGCCTGTAACAAATGCTAAATTGCAATTTGCACCGCAGTTTAACATTTGACCTTCTTGTGGTTTTTTTCACCTGATTCTCACATACTGTAATGCTTCTGATTAGAAAACTTTTACAGTAGTCTCCATTCTACCGACAGTTTGTGCTCAGAAATAAATAAATGAAGTAGGAAAGAGCAATATTGTGTCAACATTTGACACTATAAATGACATTAACCCAAAGGGTGAAAGTACTTTCATTTTAAGCAATAAGCCCAATAATACTAGAAATCAATTCATTATGTTATTGATATAATAATAATTCCAAAAAGTATAGTGTCAGCATTCAGTCCTGTCTTCTGTTTTACTGAAGGACAATATAACTGTCTTTCTGCTTTCAATCCATAATTTTTGAATAATATTATTAGCTCTTTTGAGAGCTCCATATGAAAGCCCTGTACAAAAGACGGGTGGTGGTGTTATTGTTGTTGTTGTATCTGGCTAGGATTTTAGATCCCATTCAGATGCTATGGTAATTTGTACATGTAATATCTCTGCAGTTCAAAGACCGGAGGGCAAAGTCAGTTTCTTTACTCCTGATTTAATGATGATTTTTGAATAGATCCTGTCTATTTTTCCATTTTCTTTTGGTGGATTCAAGAGTTTTATGTTACAGAGATGCTTCACCATATGCTTCCCCATAATACAATCATTGGGAAGTAACGATCATCTGTGAGCAACCACAAGGCTTTTTTCCCTCTTCCCATTCACAAAATTAATATCAAATTCAATGTTTGCACCAAAATTTAAGGAAAATAAAGATCTTCACCAAACTAACACCGCTGTAGAAAGCTTTCAAAATATAAACAGAGGTCTTTCAGTCTTTAGTCTGATCAGAAAAGGCAAAGAAGAATATCCACAGCAACAGAAGAATCCTTAATCAGAAGATTAAAAACAACTGTTCAAAGGAAGTCATGGTTTTTGTTACTGCTGATTGATTGATGGAAGCCTGTGTTTCCTCTTGACCAGTTTCATTTATGTCATCATCTCATTTGATTCAATTGCAGCAATGACTTGCCTTGATCTATTAACTTCTTTCCTTTAAAAGAACTTGGATTGTAAATGCCATCAGCTCATGATTGTAGTCCTAGGTGACATCAACTACGGTTAAACAGTAAAACACTGACAGCAAGATCCATACAGTGATGGAAAACAGATTTTATATTACCACCCACTTTTAATATTGAAAGACTGTAGTCACATTTTGCAGCATTAACAGATTAAAGGATAGGTGCCAGATGACATTGAACTTTTTGGCAATTAAATTCTACGGGTCCTGCTGATTCCCATAACAAAGGGTCATTTTAATCATCCTACAAGTTGTGGTGCATTAATCTGTGTAACAGATTGATAAAGAGCCTTTATTAATTCAGAAATATTTGGGTCAGGATGGGTTGTTTCCCACTTCTACTGATATAATAGAGACCACATTGTAGAATTAATGGTGGAAGAAATAAGATATGCATTGACTGGAAAATGAAAATTATTTCTGATAAAGAACTAAAATCCTTGATGTATCTTCTACAATTGTCACCAATACATATAGTAAGTACTGACTATGGAAAAAATCAAAAGCAGGCAGCAACTGTTTTTCATGCTAACTGCAACCAATTTCTATTACTTAAAAGACTGTTTTAATTCCAACTTTAGAAAATATATGCATATTGTTATTAGATGTACTATGCCTGACAAACATGTGAAAGTAGTGGCAAAAAACTCGCAAAAACTAACCAAACTATTATCTGAGCAAATACTTCCTGATGGTCAAGTAAAGATACTTGTACATACCTTCTTTTAGTACAATATCAGATATCTGGCCAGTATAAGTAAGGGCTGGGCAACAGATTTTCCAAAGAAGTATGTTCCAAATACTTTACTTAGATTGTCAGAAGAAAGTATTTGCTGAAAACACTATTCTGGAATGTTAACTACAGTACGTAACTGAAGTCTGAAAGACTTTCCAGCCTTATCTTCCTGGTTCCTTGAATCTCAGTTCTTAAAGAAACTGAGAGAGATACAGAATCTTAAAAAAAATGGAGTAGATGATACTGTGTATCTGAAAATAATACCTATTAGAGATACAATCCCTTTTTATTAACTCAAAATCTCATTTTATTTTGAATATCATGAGATCAAGTGACTTCAAATAGATATGTCATGCAAATAGATGGAATATAAACAAAATATTATGATTTGCAGTATTACCTAGTAGGATTACTTTAGATTTGTAAGCAATAAAACCTAAATAAAAGCCTGCATGTTAAGTCTTAAATCAATTCAGTAATTTTATTGAAATCCTGGTATAAAGTACAACATGAGATATGTGTGCAAGTAATGATATTTGGTAACAACGCCACTTGTATGTGAAACATGAATGAAGCCAGAGGTTCACCTGCAGTCTATTCAGTCATGTTTAATCAATGTCACAGACAAAATTTTTATCTACACACAAACACACATAAGTTTAGCTGGCCTTAGGTGATGCATAACCACCTTTGAAAAAGTTGAACACATTTTGTTTCACTGAGGCTAATTAACTTTTAGCATTCATAGCCAAAACTCAAGTTTCTGATCACTTCACCCACTGTAATACAGTACTTCAGCATTGCTATCTGTTAAATATATGCATTTTATGTTACTAAATCAAATGCAAGAAATAATTAAGATCAAACATTTTTCTTCCCCTTTCAATCTCAGTTTAATTTTGATTGCAGTACTCTTGCAGTATTTTGACATTTTTTTATGAGTTATTTAAAATCTGAATTGTAAATATGGTGTAATCTGGTAGATAAGGAATTTATCTGAGGTAGTCACATAAACAACTTTAAATTCCAGTGGAAACTGTGCCCCTAAATGAAATTATCAGTTATCTTCAGGGATGGCTCGAGCCACATATGTCTCCTCAATACTACAGTACTTACAGGTCTTGACTTCCAGTTAGTATACATACCACATTGCTATTACCTGAATACCTACCTTTGTGTTTCAGCGGACTTCAGGATAGTCAGTGCTGAGCCCTCCACATAGCTGTTACTTTCTTCATAAAGGATGGCTTCATATAGATACAAACTTTTCACAGAAGGCTTCCCTCAGCACATCTTATAAGGGCTGAAGCAACCTGGACAAACTTTGATTAGTCTCTACCTCATGTTCTGCCCTCAGTAAATCTACCCAGAGCATAGGAAGATACCAACAGATGTGAGTGTCGCCTTCAATAAAGCAACCAAATAGAAATCTTCTTAATATTGCAGTTCTTTACTGCCCTCATTTTTATACCATGCAAATTTACTGTAGCAGCTCATTAAACTGTTTAGGAAGAATGAAAGAGAAGTGTGGACTGCTGATTGTAATAGAGTTCTTCTTATGTAATGAATAATGATTTCTCGTCTCAAATTATGACCAGTTCTTTTTTGCTCAGAGGATCTATGGTGATGTACCAGTTTTTGTGTTGGAGCATGGAAAATGATAGAGTTAAACTAATGTAAAATCTTTACATCAGAGAACAGACTCAACGTTAGAGCTGGAAAACAGTTACCTATGTAGATCTTTGAAGAGCTAACATCCAAATACCCTCAATGCTAAGGAAGTTTGGATCCAAGTGGTACAGTTGCTTCCATATCCATCTGTAGCTTGTATTTGAAGTATGTGCTTCAATGAGAAGGGATGTTAAACTAATCAGTATTAAAAGTTTCTTTCTCATTAGCAGAGTGAATAGTAGATTGATTTACATGCATCAGAATTGTTAATTGTGTAATTGCAAAATACAAGATCCCGTGTGGGGAAGGCAAGATGTGCTAGCTAAGCTGAAGCCTAACACTGAAGAAGAGGCTGAAGCAAGAGAGAGCTTTCCTGACTAAACGTGTTCTTTAAGATGAAATTATATAGTGAAGATTAGATTTTAATCTCTTTTTTAATTGATCTCTATCTAGATCGGGAGATTTGTCTCCTCCTCCTAACAAAAAAGTTTGTGCTAATCTATTGTATTAGCACTGTTTGTGTGCTGAAAAGCCTAAAACAACTGTGTGACCTTGGAAAAATTTATGATTGCACTGAGACTACAGGACATTGAATAAGTTTCATAAGTGAAAAATGACAGAACTGTAGAGAGGCCTTAGAAGTCATCACTTATCACCCAGGAAAAGTTCAGGCTCCTTCTAATCAAATCAGATTAATATTTGTTGAATGCCAGTAAATCTAAAGTGTTAAAAGATATTGAATAAGCATTTGTCTGATTTAATAAGTAATTTATTGATTATACCAGCTGATTATACCAGCTAAGCTTAAATTCCTTCATTAGTTAATCTATGTTTTACAAGTTTCAGCCTAGCGTCTAATCTTGTAGTAAATGTGCTGATGTAAATTTTAGCTTTGTTCATCAGAAGAAATATTTTATGAAACAAGGAAAAACAACATTTTGAAAGTCAGATTAGGCAGTTAAAATCTGAAGTGTGGGTTGTGTATGATAGGGTGTTAGATAATATTTGGTCATCTAGCAGTAGAAAAGTTGTCTTAGGATTTGTAGGTCCTGTTACTGATTTCTATCACCGGTCTATTGTGTAGTGATGTACAAACCACGAAGAACATAACTTTCGGTGCTTTTGAACAAATAAAATGTCATTCAATTTCAGTGGGATGGAAGATATATTTACAAATCACTCCTATAAACTCTTCTGCACTTTATTTACTATTTGTGAAGTACATTGGAAAGCACTCTTTTCCCTGAGATGCTCAGGAATTTAATATTGCCAGAGGGCTTGGTAGTCCTCAGGTTAGAGAGGCGAAAAAAAAAAAAAGCTATTCATACCTACTTAGTATTGAGTAGTTTGTATTTCAGAGTTACCAGAAAAAGTTAGAAATACTTAATATAATTTGATTTTAAAAAATTTTCATTTTTTCAATTTTTTTATTTTTTATCCTGTTTTTTAAAATAATTACATATATGACTTACTGAAGTTTTTTTGTATCAAACAGGAGATAAGAAAGTACCTTGCTTATCCATAGGGAGGGAGAAAATATTTTTCATTAAGTGATTGTCCCTTTGTATGTGGCGCTGGTGATGCCATACCTCAAATAGTGTTTTCAGTTTTGGGCCCCTCACTACAAGAAGGACATTGAGGTGCTGGCACGTGTCCAAAGAAGGGCAACAAAGCTGGTGAAGGGTCTAGAGCACTTATGAGGAGCGGCTGAGGGAACTGGGGTTGTTTAGCCTGGAGAAAAGGAAGCTGAGGGGAGACCTTATGGCTCTCTGCAACTACCTGAAAGGAGGCTGTAGCCAGGTGGGTGTTGGTCTCTTCTCCCAAGTGACAAGCAATAGGACAAGAGGAAATGGCCTCAAGTTGTGCCAGGGGGGGTTTAGATTGGATATTAGGAAACATTTCTTCACTGGAAGGGTTATCAGGCATTGGAACTGTCTGCTCAGGGAAGTGGTTGAGTCACCATACCTGGAGGTATTTAAAAGTCATGTAGACCTGATGCTTAGGGACATGGTTTAGGGGTGGACTTGGCAGTGTAAGGTTAATGGTTGGACTTGATGATCATAAAGGGCTTTTCCAACATAAATGATTCTATGATTCTGTTCTGTGACTGACTTCATATATATAAACACATACACATATCTATGACGTGTAATACGATATGTGTGTATATATGTTCTCAGAGAAGCTATATTGCTTTATTAGCAGGTGGGGGTTTTTTCCCCCAGAGACAACAAGATCAGACACTGAAAACTGATCTGATTGTTTTATGTTTGTAGTCTGTGCCGTGGAATTGCTACGTAGTATCTCATCTTAAAAGGATGACAAGAAATTGGAAGATTTTGCAAGAACTGATTTAGTGATACCAATATGCCCCATGAAATGTGGATATGTTGTATTTTTGTAGTTCCTGGTCATGCATTAAATTTTCTCATTACATTGTCAATAAGTTACATTAAAATTGTTTACTGTTATCTTTCTGTTCTTGCTTTCTCTCTCTCTTTCCCGTCCCTTCATTCTAAAGCTGCTTAAGGAGATAGCTAGGAAACGAAGAAGCATTCGTCTTGTGAGGGAAGTTGAATTAAAGCCATATATTGCAGCTCACTTTGAAGTTCTTCCTACGGAGTTCACGTTGGGAGATAAGAAGCATTATGGTGGCTTTGAGAATAAGCAATTGCAGAGTGGTCAAGAATATGTCTTCTTTGTGTTGGCTGTAATGGAGCACTCAGAATCTGTAAGTTAAATAATATTTTTCAATCCCAGAATTACCTTTCCTCGATCATGAAAACATTTTTTCAATGCTTATTCCACTACTCAAAAGATAGATTTTTACAGTACCTGTTAGAGTATCTCTAAAGAGAGTGTTTCCTTGCTTAGTTCCAATTAATTTCTTGAACTTAGCTATTTTGCTTGCATCTGTATGTGTTACTTCTGTGTATAACTGAAACCTAAGGATCACCTTTTATTACTTGTGTTGTGATCCTTCACAAATTACGTGCTGTGCTATTTGAGATCATTAACACAGATTCTGAGGCATGAATTTCATAGCAGCATCTTTCTCAATGTATTAAAACAGAGTTCTTCTCTTGCCTTAACACTACCATTAAATAGTAGTGTTAATATACAGAATTCTTGGAAAGATCCCTTGAATCGGAGACGTGCATGGCTAGCCTCTTTACTTACAGTCTTTCCCAAACAGTTTTATCAGTGAATTGTTAGAAAGTTAGCAAATAATTCAGTAATAAGGAAAGTTCCAAAGGTGAGCTAAATAATGAACTGTCATTACTCTTTATGTAATTCATCTTGTAGTTATGTCCCTGTATGCGTGAGTTAATCTACGGCATGTAATATAGTTAAGGAAAAAAAAAAAAAAGAACAGAAATAGGACTGTTGAAAGAAGTTCCAATACACATTTTAACACATAGTGTATGATATGGTATCTTCTAACTGGTACCTAAACCTAACAGGTACATTTTCTGGCTCAGCCGCTTGTAACTACTACATCAATAATCTGAATTCTAGCCAAGTGCTTCCAGTGTGTAATGTTACAATTGCTTTCTTGATGTCAACAGTATTTGCCTACTTAAACACACTGAGGACATAGTTTCAATTTGAGTACTTTTGGATACATAGCTTCATTTGAAAATAAAATAAATGCCTCTTTGAAGCTCTGATATAAATAAAAAGTTCCCCTTTCACTTTCTGACAGTGGCTGCATAGACAAAGAATTTTAAAGGCGTTACATCCAAACAGTTCAAACTGGAGAAAGTAGACTGTTTGGGCTATAAAGTTAGATGGCCAAAAATCTGTGTGTCAGAAATTACCTGTACTAAAACTGATCTCTTTAATACAAAGTACCGATTCTCATTTTTTTTTTCAATATTAATTAAGGCATTGGTCATTTCATATAACCCTAAAGTTATCTGTTAGAGAAAAATCGGAATGAAAAATCAGGAATAAATAGGGTTGTGTATTTACAGCTGAAAAGGCTGATATGGCAAAACATCCAGAGCCTACTGTTGATGATTTCAAAAGGCATTACTAAACTTATAATATGGACAATATCTTGTTTAGCATGCCATCTGAAACATCTATGGGATTAAGTAGTATAAGGCTGTCACAGAGTGAAGAGTTTGTAAGGGTGGGTGAGCTTCAACTCCCAGTGCTCCAGTGTACCTGCTCTCAATATAGCTGGTTTTCTTGTAGGACTACAGATCCTACTAGTGTATGTATGTGTTGTAATTTGCGAGGGATGTTTTTCACGATATTCAAAACACTTTTTACATAAGGTTTCTCCTTCAGAGAACACAAAATTTCTGTGTTGATTGGGAGAATGGAGAACTTGCTTTACAAGAGGGCATGGGGACGTCTTAATTTGTTTAATGTAGTAAAATGGCAGCTGAAAGAACTTATGATGATTACAGTCTATAAACGTTAAGCATGTTATCAAGAGGAAAGAAAAAATAATAGATAATTTTTGCAAACTAATAAATTAGTTTAAATTAGTCATTAATACAGGGAGGTTGAAAATTAAAAGCAAAACCATATTTATTGGAGAACAGGTAATAAGTACTCATCCTGTTATCCTTCAGTATCCCTCTGTATCCCTCTCCAGGCATTTTTTCTGCCTCCTCCAAAGGAAGAGGCTAAACATAGAGAGTTTCTTACTGTAGCAATGTACTTTTTTTTTTGATCTTTTGAGAATACTGAAGCTGGGGAAAAACCTCAGTCAGCTCAGGTGTTCCAGGAATGGAACATGGAGACTCCCTAGTTTCTAAACAGTAATCATAGACTTTTAAAATGTTTCATACCAGGTTTAGTAAAGGAGCATAACTTAACTGGATGTCATTGACATGGGTACTAGCTCAGTACCAGCTAGTGTAAATGCGTCAGCTTTGCCGGTCCTGATCCTGTCTCTATCCTTAAACCCAGACACTGTCATAGCCCAAAGCCCAAAACAAGGCCAAATGAAGTGTAAAAAAACATGTCTCCTTTGATAACACTTGTCCTGGCTTAGGGCATCTTTCAGAATACAGTGCAAACTTGGTAAATGAAAACTAATCTCTTCTCCTGGTTATCT